ACCCCCCGCCCCAATATCTAAATTGAAACACAGGGTGGCAGCTCTGCTCAGGCCTGGCAGGGCCATGGACATGCTCCGCACCAGGAATGGAGCATCTGCGAGAGTCTGTGGGACACAGACCCACGATAAACCCAACTCAAGAGATGGAGGCACTCTTCTTCGGTCATTTTGTCACAAAGCTCCGTCTAAAAACTGTTTAGAGATGTGCACCTTCTGCTTATGCAAATATTAATCCAAAGAGTCGACAGCTATTGGCATTTGCCCATTTTAAAACACTAGTAGTAACTTTTAATAAAATTATATTCAACAAGACAAAAAGTATCTGTTAAAATCACATCATTTTCCTATTTGCACTGTGCTAGTAACAGCATATATGAATCACAACACGTGGCACAAATCGGCAGCATTTCCCTTTTACAGAGTCAATCCAGAGCAAATTTCCATTTAGAAGGCAATTTTACGATTTATACCCACTCTTTCTCACTTTCCTTTTAAGAGGTTTGTTCAAGATTGCACATAAATTCAGCACTTCTAAAGCAAAACAAACAAAAAAAATCACTTAAACACTTCTTTGAAAACCTGTATTAAACAAAAAGATTACACAGGACAAAGAAAATCAGAGAAAGGACAAGACAACAGGCACTGAGGCCAGAACATGATCAACTGCAAAAAACACTGAAACACGTCTGTTTCACAGCAAACTTCCCTCAAAATGAAAGTACCAATGAATTCCAGACTGTACTCATATTTTTCCCCTTTTTGTAGTAAATATTACACGTATTTAGAAGGGCACTGCTATGTTACAGTTTCTTAAAAACAATAAAAAGTTAGCTAGTAAAAATTTAGACCATCAGCAGCATCTGGTATAGTACAAGATCAAAACAAGACAATAGGTTCGTGTAGCTCACTGAAAACTATGCTCCTCCTATAAAAAATATTTTCCTTGGCTTTAAAAAAACCCACCAAGATCAAAGTTTTGACTAATATTCAAAGTATGCAAATGGCATACTAATCAAAGTCCCTAATCCAAAAGACTCACTGGCTCAGAATAGACTTTTGGTGTGGTCCCAATCTAGTTTCACTGTAACATGCCTGTATTTTACTTAAACACCCATTTAGAGCGATTGCAACCCTAGCTCACATCAACATGCGTTATTGGCAGTTGCCAGAGTGAATGATGCCATCCTGCTCTTCGCTGAGGTCATCGGCCGGGCTATTTCCTCTGGGTTTTTTCGCTCACAGCACAGCTTAAACGCATGCAGAAATCAGGACAACAGGGTGGGTTTAAGCCTGCATCTTCAGTGAAACCCGAACGAGTCATCACACTTGCCAAGCAAAGGAAGCGCCAGAACCGTCACACCCACCCTTGGCGCTTCGTGGGACCCAACACAAGATAGGAAACCACAGCGTGAGGTGCCATGCGCTTCGCAAGCAAGCAAGCAGCAAGCCTGAGGGCAGCAGGCAAAAGCAGGTCCCAGCTTAGGTGCCCGTCCACCGCCTCTCCCCGGCAAGAGCTTTGGGGTAGGCAGGGCATAATTCCACACGCGAGTCAAAAGGAGAGGGAAGATGGTTTGTTTCTAGCTGATTTCACAAGTCCTGATTAGCAGATCATATAGAAATGCAAACAGCTAATATCCACAGAGCAACCTCTTGTACCTAAATATTATAATAGATCTAACATCATTAATAAATATATAAAACAACATGTTAATCTCACAGACAAAACACATTTCAAAGGTCAGCATTGACTGAAATATCCAGGCAGTCTGGTCATTGTTTAAAGCACTGAAGAATTATACACAGATAATAATGTGTTAGGAACAGGCTCACAAAATATAAACTTAAGCTTGGTTTAACATTTCTGAAGAGGGTCGGAACTGGCCCTAGAAGCTGTTCTGAATGACCTTCAAATGAAGGCCCTTGCAGCCATTGCATATTTAAGAATAGAAGAAACTCCTTTACCCTATACATATCTCGGCACTTTACCTAGATCAGCTGCAAAGCAGGTATTCCCCAGGGACCAGCACACACAGGTAAGTGGATCTGGCCCAAATGGTGCTGCTCTACATCTCACACAATCTCACACTGAAAGAGGAGATTGTCTAGTCAGAGCTTAAAAGCCTTGGTCTGGGAGATGGAGACCTAGGTGCTCACTCCTAGCCCTGACACAGATTTCTTCTGTCATCTCAAACCAGGCCCTTTATCCCCCTGTCTCGGTTCACCCGCCTCTAAAAAAGGAGAGGCAGTAATTCCCTGTCTCGCAGTACTGTTCTGAGGCTTCATTTCATAAGGTGCTTTTGAAGAGTCTCAGAAAAGGCACTATAAAAGTGCAGCTATTATCATGTCAGAAACACAGAGGTGTGTGTCCCACAAGCCTTTCCCGAGATAACGCGTGTGCAAATCTAGAAGCGATGAGGACTCGCACCAGGTCACGTGTCAGCAGTCCCATCACAGTTTTCTCCTGTAGCTTTGAACAAACTTCACATTTCCAGGTTTGACAGAATTACTGGGCTGCCCCGTTTCGCAGACTGTCTCCAGTCTCCATTTGTTCTAACGGGCCAAATTCGGGATGTGTGACCGGGGACTTCCTTTGCCCTCGGAGCGTGTGCGCGTTCAACATCTCCAGCAGCAAGTCATACACGGGGACCACGTTTTTACACTTCATGCTGAGGAGATGCTCCATTCCCTTGTTACTGTGAAGGAGAGCAGAAAATAAGTCAGCCATCTGGGTCCGACAATGCAGAGAAGGAAAACACGCTCATGGCTTCAAGAGAGTCCTTTTTTATTAGGAGTTAAGAGGATTTAACTGCTGCAGTCCCTGAGATCACTTACCACTATCAACAGTAACAACATCCCAATGCTTTAAATCTGAGTGGTTTACTATTTAGAGAACCGGGATTTATTTCACACCACACAAACTGACTTCAGAAAATAATGCAGATGTACCGACCCTATTGAAATCAAAGAGAAAACCTCTCTGATGCTCTAAATGTGAGAGACACACACGCTGCAACTTTATACAAAAGGGGAATATGTGTCACTATCTACCTAGGTAGATAGTCGTTATCGCTAGACTATCCGCCTCTCCTGCTTGGTTCAGTAAGAAGACCAAACCACCCTGGCTAACTTCAAGCAGTTTGTTTCCTCTCTGCATGTCCAGGGTCAGATCTGGCAGATGGCTACAGGCTTTAATTTTTATGTTATGAGTAAAATACGCTGACACCTTGTTAGCTTGAACGGTCTGTGGCTGCATCACGATTTGGACTAACAGGAGACGGTTATTGCCATTGCAGTTGCACATATGCATACTTGAGGTGCACTCCAGGTTTTGGGGTTGAAATCTAAGTGCTCCTGCTCAACACCAAATTTATGACAGTGGAAACAGCAGCAGCCAGCCAGCACATAGCTGACCTGGTGGAGTGGATTGTGAGGGGGACAATGCTTCCAGAAAAATGAGGTTCTGCTACAATTCAAGAGCTATAAATATGTTAATGGCAAAGAAGAAATTTTAGCCCCCCCTCCTACACTCAGCCCTTGAGAGTCCTGCATCATTCAGTAATCAAGGCTGAGAGCATCAATTATTTCCAGAACAAAGTATAATTGACTGACCAGTGCTAAGCAACATAAAGGAGACAGGTCACAAGAAGTAGCCTCCAGACTTCAGCTGACGCAGGCACAGCATAAAAACTCTTGTTTTAATAAGAAAATACAAACATTTCACAAAGATTCACAATATTTATTCACGCCACGCCAGACCAAGAGCTCCTGGGATGCCGTGATGCAGCATCGCGCCAAGTGGTCAGTCGGGTTCAGCTCTGGCTGCTGCTGTAGCTTCTGCAGGGCCAGCTCTCGAAGTCACCCGCAGTTCACAAACTGGCTGTGAAAAGCTGCCTTTCGGCACAGTCAGGTCCCTGCTGCTGCCACCCGCTCTCCCAGGAAGCTTGTTGCAAAGGTTGCTGCTCTCCTCCAGCGCCCCTACACACAGGCGAATATGCCCATCTCTCTTTTGCATACTCCAGCCTGGACCCAGGACCATTTTCCCTGGACACACAGTCCCAAGCCAGGACATAAGACAGCTTTGTGAATAGCTGCCCTCTGGGTCATACTTTAAAATGACCAACAGCCTGAAAATTAAAGCATCTGTTTGTAGGGCTCTGGGTTTGAGTCTGCTGTGCTGCAAGCAAAGACGAGCAGCTCCAGGAGGCCAAGAACTGGCAGGGAGCAGAGGAGCTGCTTCCCATGGAGGAGGCAGGAGTGTGGCGTTGCTGTAGCACGAGTCACTCGGCAAAAATGCTGTGGTTTTGAATAAAAGATCTAATAGTTGCTCCCAGGACACACAACAAATTTGGCCTGGGGCAAACATGGCACCCAAAGTACACTTTGCTCCACCAAAGCCCACATTGCAGATCCGTTTTGAAAGAGACTTATTTTGGACAGAGGAGTTTTGGTAGCTTGGTGGGGTTTTTTTTGAAAGGCTGAATTTGTGTTATTATTGTTAAACATTTCAGGCAGATAATAAACGCACAATTCAATGTAGTACAATTAAGACAGCTTTTTAATAGCAACACAACATTTTTGAGTGCCAGCAAGCACTTGAGTATATTGCCTATTTAGTTGTGCTAGGAAGGAAAGCCTTACAATGAACAGAGATGAAAAGCAGTACCAGGATTCCCTCAGGAGCACTCCAGAGTTCAAGCCTTGCTTTGTTGCTGTAATAAACAAACCCTAACACCTTACACATTACACACATTCTGTAAAATTTACCTTGCGTGTCTGACGTGAGAGAGGAGCATCAACAAATTGGCCAGACGAGTTGTCTGCTGCTGCGAGGGGATTCCACTCTTTGCAATAACCCACACCAAAGCATCTGTGACTACATTAAGCAGGTGATGCAGTTTCCTGTTGCTTTCAGGTTCTTCTGCTGACAGGGGAAACATGCCTAACCAGAGAAGAGAAAGAAATACTCCCTGCTTATGAGGAAGAAAAAAAGCTATGACTGCAGGGGTTTTTCTGATGTCATATTTCAACAGGATTAGAGAAGATACATTTCCCTGCCTCAAGACTGTACAAACGATGCTCCATGTGCCACACCAGGCTTCGACTTACATTCCTGTGTCAAAATTTGTTGGCCACATCATTCACAAACTCCATAATTCTCCCAAATCCTCCCAGGACAACATGTTGAACCTAGACCCTTCAGTCCAGAGAATGCACGTGCTCTCTGTTCTCCAGTTGTTCTTTTTTTTTCCCTTTGAATCATTCTGTACCTTGTAGTTTAGTAACCATTATGAATGATACTTGCTCTAATTCCTTCTTGCTGAAAAAAAATTTTTTGGTCTGAGTGTATCCTAGGGAGGGAGGAGAACATGGTAAGAGACGCTGCTCATAGACTCAGCCTGTCTCGGTCTCCCTACAGCTCACTGAGGGTGCCATAATACAGCACTTGCCTACAGTAAGAAACCTTAGAAGTCAGCAAAAGCAAAAAAAAGGAGGTTGGGGGTATGGAGAGAGAAAAGAAGAAATCACCATTAGGAAGGTCTGGAAACACATAATAACATTATTGATAGAGCAGAAGAGACCTGGGCAAAAAAAAAAAAATCCTCCCACAAATATTTAATGGACGGACAGAGCTCCAGAACACCTTGAAAATTAGGAGTAAAAGATTAACTTTGACAAGAAAGGAGAGCAGGGAGAAACGAATGGAGAGATTTTTTTTGAGAGGTAAGGCTTTGAAGAAAATATGGCTGATGGACATGGGTTTTTGTTGGGTTTTTTGGTTGTTTGGCTGTTACGGGGTTTTTTAAAGAAAAGAAGAACAGCTTTTGTTGTCTGTTGAAATAAGGGTATCCATCTCTCAACAAGTGGGACAACAGCTGGACTATTTCCCTTCAGAACTGGGCTGAGAATTATGCAGCAGCTCCTTCCTGAAAACAGTAGATGTAAGTAGTTAGCTGTTATTTTGAAGATGGATTTTTTTGGCAACATTAATTACAAAATGTTCTGGGGAATAAAATTATTTTACTGCAGACTATCCTAAACTAGCAAACATACGGCTCTATTTGCCTTGTGTAAAAGGCTGCAAAGCAAAGCTCCTATCCTGAAATTCATCTTGCAGAACTGTTGAGTACTTTCAATCATTTCTACCAATTATTTGCCATTAAGTAATAGGAACATTTAAGCCCAATTAATCATCACTCAGTCGAGTAACTAGTTTTACTAGAATTAAGAATTAAAGACAGGTTTGTAGAGCTGTAGAGCGACTTTACACATGACCAGGCTCCACAGAGATAGGAACTTTTTGAGAAGGACATACCCACAGCGTGGGCCATAAGCCCCACCTTGTGAGAAGCTTTCAGCCTTTGGGTCTTTCCTGCAGTTCTTACAACAGGGTACAGACCCTAAATCCAGGAAATGATACAGCTCAGATGTTTCTTGAGCAAAAATCCTTGCAATCTGAAAGTTAGAAGTCTTTCCTTCTCTTTCAATGGCTTTATCACATTTGATATTTCTGTCTTTTTGAGAGGCTGATTTCCCAGCCACCCTCAAAATAAAAAGTACGATTTGGCGAGTGTCAGAGTCAACCGCATACTCACTGGAATTGAGGAGGATCATTGCCTTGACACACAGATACTCCTTGTGCTGCAGTTTCAGCTCTCGGAACCTCGAGGTCATGGCCAGGAGCATATCAAAGATCTCCAAAATTCCCTCTACGCATTTCCCTTCGTCCCTATGGAAACACATTTTAAAAGTTATCGAAAAAGTAGAATTAAGGAACTCTGACTCAGCCAGATAAAAATCAAAGCACAAAGGAAGCTGCAAAAGGCCTGTCCATCTCATCTTTGGGAGAATTCAAAAGGTTCTGTCATGAAATCTAAATTGAAAATTACGCTGGTGTGAAAGGTCAGCACCGCTAAGAAGCTGATTTTCTCTTTAAAGTGCATGCAGGATTGACCGCAGGTAAGTATGACCATATTTCTGTAGGAGGCTTTAACCTCACAGCCAGTGTAATTCTGGATAATCAGTTTGAAACTCTGCAGTGCAGGGCACGGTACCACCTTGAATCATTTTCCAGATTTGTTTCATAAGGTGTTAATACCACAAGTGGTGACATTACTATTTGTACCTGAGAAAAGCCTCAGGACCTGGTGAATAAGAAAGACCCCCTAAAATAAGTTTATTGGAATAATAGGACATTTTTTAAAAATAAAACATCTCCTCCCATCCCCCAGCACCTTTTTTTTCTTTGAAGGTGTTTAAATGTAAATAGATTTTGGGGTTTTTTGGTGGTTTTGTGATTTGGTTATTTTTATGTTTGCAAGTGTTTACTGAATCCAACTTTCTCCATTTTGGCTATTAGAAATGGTCCCATGTTCTCATCTGAAAAAAACTCAAACAACCCTAAGCCATTCTAATGGGTTTAAAACTAAGCAACAGCAAATTTCAAACCACTGAAGTGACTGCTCCAGTTTTTTGGTTAGGTTGTTTTTTTTTTTACATGTACTGGACTAAAAAAGCAATTAAGCTCTACAAGACAGGATTCAAAGGGATGCTTCTTGTACTATCTGTAATATGAGGGTTTTTTTTTTCTCTATATTGTCTTAAGACAAGGCAGACTTAGGCACAGCAGTGCAGAAGAATTAAAGAACTTTACTAGATCCCAAGAGGAAGGTGCTGAGCCTTCAGGCTGCGAGGCAGGCACAGGCAAATAACACTAACCAGGTGCAGCAAGGAGTGCCTGCAGAAAGGCAGCTGCCTGAATGTTGTCCAGTTTCTCCCTGTTCCTCATAGCAAAGGAGAATTTTAAGCTTTGGAGAAGGACAGGCAGCTGCCAGTTTCACAACAAAGACACGAGCGTCAGAGAAGTACTTGTCTACAAAGAAATGTAAGAAATGTAGCTGAAGTTCAGCTAAGATAAAAACAATCAACTTACAGACCAGTTTCATATACACTTGTCTTAAAAAAAAAAAAATTACAGCATGCCCAGATGCTTGCTAGCTCCCACTCTGCTGTGTCTTGTGGAGATGAAAGAATGCATCAAATAAGCTCACTCTATTCAGCACATATTAGCTCCCGAGGAACTAAATGTGTCATACATTTTCAGCAATTTCTTATCATTGCATTGAACAACACAGTGTGCCCTTGCATTGAATTTTATATGAGCAAATAAAAATTTATTTCATAACTTTTCTAAATTAAATTTATTTCTCTTGCTAACCCATTTTGCTTTCTGTATCTACGATGATGATTATTATTGAGCTCAAGCCACAGAACCGGTACAGAACTGAATTTCCCCAGGTTGAAAAGGTGAAGAGACATTTCAAACCTATCCAAGAGCATAGATTTTTTTTTCCCATGCCTTTTTACCAATGTGAGGGCCAGGTGAAATCCTTCCAAGGTCCTGTAGAAAAATACCCTTATTAATCTGTATTTTTCCCTGCTGGTACACGATGTTATGGAGAAATCATTTTTTAATCTTGCAAACACTCTGCTTTAGCTTGAAAAAATACTTTCAGTATTAAAAAGCAAGTTAGGTTGTTTTTTTTTTTTAAATCCCTTTTGACTAGTGCTGTGATCTTTGCTATTATACCTGTTTATGAAGTCTGCACTAGAAGCAGGAAGAAAAACAGGTAGACGAGCTACTTCTTAAATTAAAATATGGCCTGGCACGATGTCTGCTTTTTTTGAGGGGTAGGGGGACAAAATCTATCAGCTGAAAAAAATTGATTGACAGTGTAGTGCAGGGTGTTGATGTGTTCACAGTTTCAGTATCTAGAGACCTGGACCAAAAGGAACAAAACCAACAGAAGATGTGAAAAATACAGAGAAACTTCACATTGTCATGTACTACAGGAATTAAGGAACTGGCAAGTTCAACAATACTGTTTATGCGTAGCATTCCTTAAGCCCCTGTAAGGATGTGGAACCTCAAGAAATTATTGTTACAAATACAAGTAAAGGCTATGGTTAGATTACTATCTCCCATACTTAATTCTCTTCCTCTTACCGTTCATCCCACCTCCAAACATGCAAATACGAAATGTTCTCAAGAAGTTTATTTCTCTTACCTGTCTAGTACAAGGTCTGGTGCAAAAATTAGTTTCCCAGGATGGTCGATTGATCTCCACATCAAACCAACCATTAAAACTTCCATCCAGCAGCTCTCCAAGAGTCTTACTTGGTCATAGAGGCTGAGATCAATGAAGCCTAGCATAAAATAAATCAATCTGCTTATTGTGCTGTTTTGGTTGAGAAGACTGAGTATACAAGAAACAAAAAGAAACAGAAGGAATTACGGGTTGTGAAGAAAGCCAGAAAAGGGAGCACTGACATCAGAAGGACCACGCAGCCATCTCAAATAGGAACATAAACTTCTGTTATTATCATTGTCAAATCTTCCACAAAACATTTGAAATAAAGCAGAGTGATGTTCAAGTGCAATTATTCGCATACAGCTGGTGAAACTCAAGTGACTGCAGGGGATCTGACTTATGCTTGGCCACCTCTTTAGATGACGGTCCCACAGCCTCCTGAGAGGCACCAGGGAACCACTCGGGAAACTCACATTTGTCAGACATCACTGCATTGCACTGCAGAGGACTCCTAAGAAAATAATCTGTTCTTTCCCCAGAACACATATGGTTGTTGCTTGCAGGCTTTTTTTTAATCTCATAAAACAAGCATGTTTCTGGGTTTGTTGGGTAACTGTGAAAGCACCCACATCTTGGTGCCTCTGTGTTATCATCCCTTTTGTAAACAACAAGTGTGGACCCCATCCCATTCCTTTCTTGCTCCTTCCTTCACCAAAAATGCAATAAACCAGATTAAAAAAAAAAAAA